CGGCCTACAAATCCAAAGCTTGGGCAAGCTAGCCGGGCTGGGCGTTAGGTCGGCTAGCGAGCCTGGCTTAGGCTTAGTTTTGACCATTTTTTTAATTTTTTTTTCGCATCGAAATCTTCTCTTTTTTTCCACAAAAAATGGACTTGGCCCTGAGCGGGCCTTATGGGCTGGGCCTTTGAAGCAAACAGTCTAGGCGCAGGTCTCAGGCTCTGCCCTGGCCGGGTTGCAATTGGGTTTTCGGGTGGATCTGCGGGCCGATGGTCACATTTTACACCCCTCAACAAGGTATTAGTAGGATTCTTTTATTATTTGAGAAAAAATTGAATAATTTAAAAGTCAAACAAACAAACTACCTAATCAAACTTTGGTCATTATGGGATATAAGGATGTTTTTTAAAAATTAGCACAAAAAATAAAAGTTGTTGTAAACGCCTCAATAATTAACCCATTATATATCATTGACATGCGTTTTAAATAAGACAATTAATTATCCATTCATCAGAGTATTACTAAATAAAGCATTACAATGTAACATCGAATAAAAATGCCGCTACAGGCTTACATCTTTCCAAGCCAACACTTGGATACAAAAATATGAGTTCTAACTCAAATACAAGAAAAAGCCCAGGCTTGAATGTTTACATGTATATAATAATTAAAGAACAATTAACTAAGAGGTAGTCCTTCGTCAATCCAGAAGCCAAACCCTCCCAAGCTAAGGTCCTTGGAGGTAGTTTATCACCCGTAACACTGAAAAATGATGTTCCATAAAGGGGTGAAGCACAGCCGCAGTAGAAATATACTAACCACATTAAGCAATGAATAAAGCATAGCATTCAACAGATGATTAAGCCGAAAATAATCAATTACTTTCATTTTACAGTCCTCATGACACTATTGCCGAAGATACGTTTTACTTTCGCAATTTTATCAACATGGCTCAGAACACTGGCCAAACTTCAACATGTGAATCACATAATATCATATTCACATCCTTCCGTATCAACAAACAAATGAGACTCAACTCAAATCAAACCTCCATACTTCCTAGATTGATACATACATTTTAGTGACTGTATCAATAAAACACTTTATATAAATAAGCACACATAAAAGTGATGCTAAGGAGTCCCATCCCCTAATTCTCCTCCCAAAACAAAAATCCGGTTAGGAGGTTCCATCCCCTATCTTCCCCTAAACCGTGGAGTAATCCCCTATCCTCCTCCCACATTCACAAACAAATGTATGCAAAATGCAATGGCCAATCAAATACATCGTATTTTCTGTAATCAATGCCATAGTCAAAATTAAATGACTCAACCAATGTTGATTAGTTTCAGTTTTCTATCCACATGCAATGTCTACAACAATGCACGACTATCCTCACACCGATAACCCAAAACAGTTATTTCCTAACTGAAAATAATATGTAAACAATTCATAGAACAATGATACCAATTACCGATTACGCCATTTTAATCATTGAATCCCCAATTCCATGAATTTAACCCTACTTTTCCCAATTCCAATGAATTACTTTATACAAATTAATACAATAATAAACAGGTTTTCCCAAAATTTCCATTGTATCCCCAACATATCAAAATACCAAAACTTAGGACAAAACGCTATAAAATGGAGTAGGAAATCCTACCTCGAAGACAACAACTCAAATGGTAAGACAGCAGATGAGTGCCCAAATACGCAATGTGGCTCGCAAATCGCCAATGTTCCCGATTAAAGAAAGCCCCAACCCACTCTATCTTTTTAATGAAGGATCTAGGATAGAAAACACACCAAGTGGATCAAATCTAAGAGAGAAGGTGAAATAGGGAGGAGAGAATCGGACCGTAGGGTTTTGGGAATCAAAAAGATAATGAAAAACGACTGATCAAAACCCGTTGTTGGGTTATAAACCTGGACAGGCTCGCTCGGCGAATACTGGTCGCTCGAGCGACCAGACACAGAGAAAACTACGCTC